GATACATAGTGCCCTACAGGACTACCTTGATAAGTTATTCATTCGAAAAGCTAAGAAATGCTATATATACTTTAAAATAATCAGAATCACAGTTTCTCTTAATTGAATTGTCTTTTTCGTTATGAGTTGATTTCATAAATAAGCAAAGAACTGGCCCAACAATGAACATGCTATGTGCCATTGCTTTGGTTCTGTTAAATTTTGGCACATGCTGTTTTTGGGTGGCCTGCTGCAAAGTTCAGATCCAGCGTTCAGAGAGTTGGTCATTGGACAGGCCTGCCTGTCAACTGGCAAAATGTATTAATTCAAGCTGACAGCAGACTTTATGGGAGTCAGTCAGTTGCCGCCATGGAACCCAAGAGAAGAAGGAAACACAAGCTTTTGGGCTCAGGACAAAAGATCAACAGGACTCCAAATTCAAGGTTGTTGCATAACTATACAGAGCTGAGGGGTGGGGGATGGTTGAATTCAGGGCTTGAGGAGTTGGAGGGAAGCAAACATTAGCAGAGAAGTCTTTAACTCTGCCTGGTGGTCATAAGGCAAAATGGAATTGAAGGTATACCATTTCAAAAGTGATATAATTCACCTCTGAACTAGAGAAATGATGCAACTGTTCTTTGCAAAGCCGAAATATTCATTGAATGAAGAGACAGAAAAGTGCCAGGMTTGTGCTTTTTTAGGGTTTTTAAATTGGTAAAAACTTTAAGCACTCAAATCTTTGCTTTGAAGAATAGAAAAGTTGCATATATTTTATACTGCAAAGTTGTATGAGCCACTTGTGGGGACTTCTTAAATGGGACTTCTTGTAGTGAACTGTCAAAAAGCAGTTATTGTTAATTAATTTTTTTCAGTTATCTTTTTCTTAGTGGTAAACGTATTTTTAAATATTTAAGTAAAAATGTAATGCATGTAGCGCCCATATTTATTTTGTTGTTTTTTTATTTTCACTCTATTTGTGGTGATGTCTGACATTTCAGTTAGCATGTTGTTGCTGAGGGGCCACTGTTGCCTTTGGTTGAATTCCCATTATCCTTTGCTCTGTGTGAATGAGGAGCATTGAAAGATAAACAGTCACATGTTAAAGGGGGAGTAATATGTATTTTTCAGGCGTATAGTTCAATTCTATACCACAGTCAAGTAACTGTGCAACCTTCAGTTATATCAAAAATACATTTGACATCATATCTAAACGCCACAAMATTGGCCTGTTTCTTTAAGAACCTCCTACAGTTTCTGACACTCCCACTTCAGCACATCTTACAATAACGATTTGGAGGAGGGGTGCTCAGTGGGGCGGGAGCTCAGCTGCAAACTGAGCTCCAGGGAGGAGCTTTGTACAAACAGATGGGGCTTTGTACCAGCAAGCATTTAGGCAGCTCAAAATGGCTACCACAGGAGATTCAAGAATTTCTCAAACATGCACGAATGAGTCAAAGCAACACTCTTTGTATGTTTCTGATGAGGAAACGACATTATAACATAATATAAAGCTCAAAMAATTATTTTGCATACCYCTTCCCCAGTATAATTGTGGAAAAGKGCCCTAATAATTTAGATGTTAAAACTAAGAATGCCACTCACTTCAGTTTTTGTTGTCTTCAGCACTAAAGTAAAATAAACACGGGGGACATGAAATAACAGTACAACTATCAAGCAATTTACTAGTTTAAGTCTAGTTTCAGTTTTCAAAATTTATACATCTGGATGATGTTTTTTTCTTATTGTAAGAGCCACAGATTCCAGCAAAGAAAAAAATAGTCAGAACTGATCATAAATTGAATGCTGCTTAGCAATTCATTGGAGACTACACTAAATCACAACCCTCTGAGCCAGTTGGMGAGAGAGAGAGAACTGCATAATCTGTGTTTAAAGACCAACAGCTATTAGTCTTACTGGGAAATGGGATTTTAGATTAAAACAGTTCAAACATTAAAAGGACATGAAATTAATCACTGAAAGCACTTTGTTGGTTCCAGTTTGGCTGTTTTGATCCAAAGTACTCAACATAAAAAAACAACTCTTAAAATACCCTTTTTTTATACACAACTATGAATAGGATTCTGCTTTTACTGTCACTGAGAAAACAAACAAACAAAAAAAAAACACAAAACCTTGCACTTCCCATTAAGGGCTCGACACACGGGGAGCGACAAACTACAGCGATTAACGGCTGTCATCGCAGCCAGGGTGAAACCTGACACACGGGAAGCGATAGCGATTGCAGCGTTGCGAATCGCGCTCTCAGGTCGCTTGTCTTCACAAAATTTGTTTGGTTCTTCTACTGCCTCTTGTAAAGGTTATTAGTGGTTCACAAAAAAGGGGGGTGTGCGTTACGGATGTGTAATCTAAACAAATCTTGCGATGCTAATGGTATTGAAAAACAAACACACACCAAGATACAATTTTTATGAGGAAAAACTTACCGGATAACTTCACCCTGGTGCCAATAAATTCCCACAAAGATTTTTAGTAATCGGTGAAAGTGTTAGCTAACTACAGTGGGTAGCATACTCTCCTCTCATTGGTCAGTCAATGAAACCCTCGCTAATTGGTTGTACGCTAAGCGACAGCGACAAAAGTTGAACATTTTTCAACTTTCATATGTYGCGTCGCAAGCTCRCGTGTGCACRTCTACRTGTACGAGCGCGAAATTTCACATGCACTATTTTYGCCRGTCGCTTAGCTGGAGGAGGGCAAGCGATTGTCGCCTCACCGCACAGGCTCCATAGGAAATGAATGGAGAGAGAGCAACGTCTCCTCCCGTGTGTCGAGCCCTTTACTCTTATTTAGATACCTTAACTCCTTCTGTTTTCATTTTATTTACCTGCCAAAATAGCATTCCATTCTGGATTTTATTTATTTGTTTATTTATTTATTTATTTATTTATTTATTTAGACATTCTGACAGATGTGTAGTTCCGTTGATGTCTTTTCACAAATCACCCTGCTTGCTAGATGGCCAGTAGCAATGTAGGAAGTTTTGTAGGAGCAGAGGTTTGTTGTGGCAGTGTCAGGTTGTTATCAGTTGCATCTTTTCACTTATGACATGGTAGAAGAACCTGATTCCTGATTTAATTTAACCGGATGCATCGTCAAAACATTTAATTCTCAGCACATCGCAGCTTGTAAAATAAGCTTGCACAATGTGCAGCTGGGATATATACAAACTTTTGCAATGGATGTCGTTAGATGACTTTCAGTTTGACTTGTCTTTTATCATTTCCTGAAAACTGTTGACAACTGCTAAACCCTCGTCAGGGTTTTTATTTCCAGTGTACATGACAGTTTATTCTTGRTACTGCAGTTCATGCTGAAATCCCTATGTTGGCTTTTATTGAATGTAAATCAGGCTGGCTTAGAGAGGCTGTAGGAGGGCTGCTAATATGCTAACATCTCCTATATGGCAGAGTTATTTTCTCTTTTCCTAAGCCAGATGTATTGGAAGCTTTTTTTTCTTTCTCTAATGTGGCACATTTTCCACACAGACTGTGCTGTGGTGGGATTATTATGGAGACTTCTGTCACTTTAAGGCAGTTATTTTAACTGAGTTAGAGTCTCTGTTTTGTGTGTGGTAACTAATCTCTTGGATGGTTTGAAGGGATTCAGAGGGAATTCTTGTGGTTTTCCTCTGGGAATGACGATACACAGACAAGTGCTCTTTCTCACTCCCCTTGGCTTTTATATAAATATCTACATTGTTCGAGTCTTTGCATAAGTCACTCTTCCAAATTTGTGACCTGTAAACTGTTACATTCTTTAAAAAAGGTTTTTAAAGACTTTACATTTTATTAAAATACACAGTCATTAATATTCACATGCTAAAGGTCAGAAAAACATAAACTCCACATATGTAAAAATTATAATGAATCAAACAAATCCCCCTTTTTTTCTGCAAAAGCTGCTTTGACTTTCAAACTGCAGACTTTGTGTATAAGGGGATGGCATCTGAATATTTGTAGCCTTAGTTAACCCGCTTCAGTCACAAAAGTCTCTCCTAGCACGTCACACAACCCACAGAACTCCAGATTGTTTCCTGTGAAGGAGGTGAACTTTTATTTTCTCTCCTTTAAGTGTTTTTCTAAAATGGGTCAGCAGATGTTAGAAAGAGGGAAAAAAGAAAGAGGAGGAGGAAGAGAAAGAAGAAGAAGAAAAAGAAAAACAGCCAAGCTAACTGTTTGCTCTGCAGTGTGGGTTGAGAGGAGAGAAAAAGAGAAGAGTGGGAGGAAGTGAGAAAAAGGAGGCTGCGTCTGTATGTTCTCATCTGACATTGGGTTAAAATAAACCTGTTTTTGTTGTTTGATTTTTCCCTTCACTGTCAGCCAAATGATCATATTCACACTTCTCCACTATGCTCAATGGAAATGATGTAAACAATGAAGATGCACACAGAAGCTGCATGAATACGAATTTATTGGATGCGCTGGATATTTTTTTTGTGGGTCTGACAAACATTGGGAACATTTAGTTCCTTATCTGTCAAAAAGACAAATCCTGAAGCCCTTATCTTACCCCAGTTTACATCAGGTTTTTCCCTTTAGTTCAGGATAGAACTGTCTTATTCCACAGAAACAGAGAAATATGTTGCAGGTTATGTAAAAATGTAAGAATGTTTCGGGAGAGACCGAAGAAGAGACTAAACAGACTGTGTGAAAAGAATTAAAGAYAAGAAGACTAATTAGAGCATTTGAAACTAGCTCTGATTTGTTTTGCTTTTTATCATTCTTCCTCTACTTTAGTAAACAATTCTCTTTTTTCAGAGGATAAATAATCTTTCAAATACACTGGTTGAATAAAGTTGAAGGAAGACTACAATCATTGTAGTGCTTGTGTTTAATTGAAGTTTGTGTGATGTATAGGCTCAAAAAAAAAAAGGCATCTAATCATATCCACAAGCTATAATGTAAGAAACAGTATGAAATAGTTTTGTTTTACTGTATTACAAGATTAATTTTGGACATTTGCTTTCATACTGCCTTACACTTTGTTTTCTGGTTTTCCAGGCACACACAACAGGGCGAACAAGTGTCCTGTCAACGAGCATGGGTGCCTGGACCTGGATGTTTGCATCCACATGAGCAAACTGTGTGACGGAGTCCCTGATTGCTCAGATGGCTGGGACGAGGGGCCTCACTGCAGAAGTAAAAACGCACACACTCGCTAAATTCCACTTCAGGCAAAACTCACTGCTCTTTTTTTTTGGGCTGAGTGTCTCGTTCTAAAGGTTTGGGTTCAGAGTAGACAATTTTAGCTAGATTGGTCATGGCACAAGTAATTTGTTTTATGCTGTAACATATTGGAGTTGTCAGATCTGAAGGGGCTTTATGTATGTTGTACTCACTGCATTTCTCACCCACAGAGTAGGTGTCACTGCTGAGAACACAGTACCATTGAACTGCAGGAACGATGGTAGAAAAACATGTGAAGTACATTGTAGTGTGGTGTGATACTGCTAATTATGATACTGATTCAGTACCAAATAAACACAAGGCCAGTATTGCAGATATTGATTTGTTCCAATACATTTTCCTTATAATGGGGTTGAATGTATTGAGGTATAACAATACACCGATCTACATCAATATATTGATTAAATGATTCACTAACATCAAGGCAAAACAAAGTTGTCTTCATATGCCCGATGTGGATCAAGATGGAAATATTTTATTTATAATAATTACATCATAATTAAATAATGTTGATGGCAGACTTGTGAATTGAATTAAGATCATATGATGACAGAGTTTGTAATATTGTGGAAAAATTGTATCGTCATCCAAACAAAAAAATATATTATTGTAATGTGATAAAGCTGGTGATTTACGCCCCTAGCAATGTATAGGGTTTTTCATGTGTCATGTTTCTTCGTCACATCACATATCTTATTTTATTTTTCTAAATATTAAATATTACTACAACTCATAAATTAGTGAAAATCAAATCAGTACAAAATGAAGAATTAAGGTTTTAGAATTTGTCTTCTTGGTTTTTGTTTTTGTTTCACTGTTGGAACAAGGGCAGTGTACTGAATGTATAGAATAGAGAAACAAAAAGTATCAGTCCTGACAAGCTAGTATCGATTTRATGCAATACTAGCATTGGTATCAATAATATCTATCTGTACCCCACTAGTAGTACATCATTTATTCAGTAACATAACTGCACTGTTCTGGTAATTGGCATTTGTTTTTTAGAATTTCTTCAGTTATTTATAACATTAGAAATCAGTGCACTTCCTTGGCTTTTGTTCAGTTGTACAGATGTCTGTAGAAACGAACGTGCTTTCAGACTCTTCCTGCTGCTTTTGTTTGTTTCACAATGAGCCACTCATGCAGCCCTCAGCACATTACCAAATTCTGTGGGTTCACAAACCACCAAAACAATACTAAAGCACCTGGCTTCCATGATATTGTAATGTTTTGTTTTGCTTTTTTAACATGTGCTACTTTTTTGCAACGCTGTAAATTACAAACATGACTAACCTTGTTTATTTGTTTTTACCAGCCTTTTATTGTTGTAGTATAACTTTTTTTTATCCAATCTCAGACTATGATTTCTACCAGTTGATTTCTTTTATTTGCATCTAGAATAAGTTGATACTTTCTGTTGTAAAATTACATGAAATTTAGTTTTTGTGAGGGAAAAAATAGTCATTATTTTAGCAATCTGCTTATCCACAAGGTTTTTTCCTCTAACCTTGTAGGAATAATAAGCATCTAACCCAGATGCCGTTGAGGAAAAAAGGCAATCAAATCTTCTAGTATTAATTAAAAACCACATGAGAATGAAAGCTGAAAAACCCTGAAAAGCTGAATAAAAAATGTCTRTAGGATTTGACATTGTTGCAGTTGACAAAGGATTAAAAGTTGTCTCAGAGTTAAAAATAAAAACTCTGAAGTTYTGCCTAGTTTTGAAGCTGCATTATTTCATATTTGAGCCACTCTTTCGTGGTTGTTTTTTTTTTTGTGCAACTACAAAACCATTTATTCAAGTGTTTGAGTAATTTAAGTTCCTGACAGTTGGTCTACCCAATTCTCAAACAATGTTTGTAATCTTGAACCAGCTTATCTCCTCTACTAAGTCTAAAATATTACCCAAAGCTTCTGTTGTCTATACTGAAATGTACAAAGGTAYGTTTTGTAGAGTTTGACAGATTTGTTTACTTTAATGTCCGTTTTCTCAATTTAGTGCCATTTTTATTAGGATTATTAATTAACTCTGTTTATTTTTATATCAGCTTAACAGCTTCCTGTATTGAATATCAATTTTTTATGTTTATGCTTGTGTAAGGTCTCCAGCTGTTTTTAAATCTTTCATTGTGCACAGCACTCCCATGAATGTTATTAGACCCATCCATTTTAAGGGTGGAGTGTTSCGATTTCAAAGTTAACTTGTTAGAAGATTTAAGCAACAGTTTAGACCAGTAAAGCAGGAGCACTGTCAGACAGATGAAGTTGTACAGAGTGGGTGCAAGTGTTGTTACACAATCATCACTGCCAGGCAAGTCTTTTATCAACGCATTTATGTTGTCGTCAAGTCCCGACATGCGCTGCCTGTCCYAGAAGACACAAGTCCAGCTGTTTCCAATAAAAGGCAGTGGTCAACCCCCACCAGCAATGAATCACTCGTACATGTTCATGTTGCCTGTTATTGCATGGGTGCTCTCAAAGATATATTCACATGGTCACATTTTGGAAAAACACAAATGCTCACATTTGACCACTTATTTCAGGGAAATACTTTTACAAGCACGCATGTGTTTGCTTGAACAAAGATTCACGTTGTGCAAGTATACCTGGCAGCTGATTTCTGAAAAGCACACTTTGTCAGAGGGCTGAAGTAACACTGCCAACTTTGTTGACAAGAAGGGGTGAAAAATCAGAATTTAGCTCAATAGGTCAAGCGGGAGTTRAATGTGGTGGAAATAAAACCCTAATTATACATGGTGTGTGGTTTAGCGAAGTGCAAAACCTTTTACAGGCCAGAGAACATGAAGCAACAAGGATGATTTTGTGAAAGGTGTTGAGATTCACCAATATGGTTTCAAAGTTTAAAGATGGCACCTAAATTGACACTTAATATAAGACAATTTTTTTCAAACACAAGTCAGATTAAATCAAATACTGTGTCTGAATCAGATTTTTTTGCAAGCTAGTGACAATATAGTCAGTGTCTTTGACAATCTTCAGTCAAAGCATTAGTTATAGTCATGGTATATTAGAGTTGGTAAATTGAAAATCTAAATTATATTACAGTCTTTTCAAAGAAATTTGTAATGATGAAATGTAGGGTCATGACACAGCGCTAGTCTTCATTTTATGTTTAATAAATGCATATGGTTTTAAACCATAAATGCATATGGTTTTAAACCACTGACCATAACACTTGACTGCCTTCCCAAAAACTGACTGACTGTATAGAAAATATATTCATCATGGCAGATGTTTTAGAGCGTTTATCTCTTCACTGAYGCTTCAAATGAAGCCTTTATTTCTTCCAGCGACCTTATTCAAGTTTATGCATAGACTCTTGCTAGCTATGAAATGAGAATTTGTCTTGGTCTACTTGAAACTGTCCGAGTGAAGACAATATTATCATTTTTATTCCCAAGTGGGTGTTGGTTGGCAGAGCTGGCTTGTTTGATGAGACCTGTTTTTCTGCCCATCTTTACAGGTTATCGTGCATGAAGAGATTTTGTCTTTTGATTGTAGTTTACACTGCATGATCTTGGGAATGTTTTGTGCTGCTTTGCTAATTTATTTGTAACTTTGTGACAAATGGTTTGTCCAGGTTTTGTTTTAGGCGCCTGGGCCGCATGCTGCCACTGTTAGCTAGGCACTGTTTGCTCATTACTCAAGTTGCTGCCATGCATGTTTACAAATGGTTACTTTGTCCCTTTCGGTTGCTTTGCCTTTCTACCTGCACCTCTCCTTTGCAGATTCACAAATGTGAGGTATTTCTTTTTCAGAAGTTCTGTCAAATGTGTTCTAAATCTATTATGAATCTAGTGATTATTGACTGAGTTTACAGAATGAAGCTTATAGATTGTCTGAGATTGGGTCTGAATTCTGTCAGCTTGGTGTTCTTGTAAAGGGGAGGAGACAAACTCGGATCTCTGACAAATATTGCATATTAAATGGAATATCAGAATGAAGTCATTATTGGTAGTAATGTGTGTTTAACAAAAAAATCATTTAGTAAAAAGCCAGCTGACCTGATACCTTTCCTAATAATCTGATCTGAGTGCAACCCAAGCAAACATATTCAGTTATTTACTTCATGTATTAGAAGATTCTGTGCCCTGTAGTAGAAATGATGTAATTTGATGACACTGTGGGAAAGTGTAGGTTTCTGTCAGTTCCTCAAAGAAGCTAATGACTTGTGTCAACTTGTTTCCAGACTGTGAGAGCACAAAGCTAGGAATCTCCTTCCAGTTTTTTTTTATTTTTTTGCTAAACATTGATGCCACACATGTTGACTTGTGCATCAGCATTGAAGTTGTGTAACCAGAGATGACTAAATTAATAACTGACATGCTTGTTTCGCCCAATGTTTACTCTTGATCTTTCTGCTTCTCGCCTACTCCGGTAGAGAATTACACTTCTGGAACATGAACTGAAAATAAAAATAGACTCAAGTATCAATCGTATGACACTAGTATCGATACAGTCCATAGTATTTTGTTAGTGTAGATTTTTAGTCATCCAGAACAAAGCAAATAAAAAGGCAAAGCAAGTGGACTTCTAATCTGTCATTGAAGACACAGTTTTATGGGGTTGAGGGTTAGAGAGTTTTCTTGACGGATAAAAAGAACCAACAATACATTGTTGCAATGAAACAAATACACAGAAGCATCTCATTGCAGCCTTTWATGAATGCAGTTCTAACTTTCCAATTTCATGTTCCATTTTAGTCTGCTACTGAGGTCATAACTCCTGTACAGTATGTTTTTAATGACAGTCATTCCAATTCTCTTGATTCTTTCAACAAATCACCTCCAACTTTTGTTTTTAGGAGATAAACGTGAAGCTGAGATTCACCATGCAGTGAAGGGGTCAGCATCTTCGGCATGCTTGTTCAGTGAAAAAAAAATCCTTTAATTAATTTATAATTTCTTTGCTTTTTTCTTTAACTCCTGGTCAAATTTCTGACATAGTGCAGAGGATTTATTATTTTTTGTTTTCTTAAGAGTTGTTTTTGTTTTTTACCTGAGCAATATTATCTTAATGGCCTATTCTGGATATCATATTTTTATTTTCCTTTCTTCTCCAGTAGCTTTTCTGAAATTTAACTACACATAAATTTTTTAATTCAAGGGTTTTGTTCACGCTTAGTTAAAAAGATTATAAATTGTGGCCTGTAATATTAAACTGTGGTACTTATTGGCCACCCATAGCTTGACACTAAAGTACAAAATAGTGCACAATGACCTGGACAGAGATACACAAAGTGAGTATTTTAGCTCTGCAGTAGCCTGTAGTCTCTCACAGTGTGAGACTTGGTGAATGGATTTGATGTGGGCCACAGAGTGAACTGGGAGACTCTCTCTTTCAATGGGGCCACAACAAAAGAGTCATTATGGTCCAGAGTGCTACAGGCTTTACATAACAAGGGCCCWTCACTGGTCCAGTTTCTGCTCCTTACTGCCATGCTAGCACTAGCTACTGTACATTACGCTACAGTAGGTACATGATAGTAAATCACTGGTAACTTCATCTCTTGTACTCATTTAAGTTATTGTGAGTGTGTGTTTATATTTAGTTAATGATTAAAAATTAGTGTTTCTCAATATGTTTGCAGCAGTTATTTACCCTAGGAGCTTTGACCTCAAAATAAATCATAAAAAAAACTTCATTTTTAAATGCATTTTCAAAAGTTTAGGACCAAATAAAAATATTAAAAACTTTTTTGATTGTTTAGAAGGAAGAAGAAGTTTAAACAACTTCTTTTCTAAAACAGCATGTTTTAATATTTGTTTTTAATTGAAAACATTTGTTTTGATTGTTTTAGTTTTATCTCAGACGTATAAGCAATTTAACTAGGAAGGAAAGGAAGAAGAAAAACTTTTGATTAACAGCCCACTCTACTTATCTCCAAGCCTTGACACATAAATACACGTGTGTACGAACACACCCTATTGAGGCCACGATAAGAGGATGTGTAGATTCTCTTATTTCCTGCCAAAAGATGTGTCCTTGAGTTCCCCCTGGTCATTGGGAAGGAAGAAAAGAAGAGGCCCACTAATGTGTGCACATTCAGATCACCCTTTCTTCTGTCTGTGTGTGTGTGACCCCCACTAACATCAAATAGGATTAAATCAGAAAGCATGGCTCTGTAAGGATTGCATTAGGATTATCTCAACTATCAGTGTAAATATTAATTTATCAACATTATTTAAGTCTCTTTGTGTCTTTCTCTCTCCTTTTTCTGGTTCAGAAAATGCGCCAGACTGTGCCTCCTATGGGTGTGAATTTAACTGTGGGGTGACTCACAACGGGCCTCGGTGCTACTGCAGACATGGCTACGAGGTTGCCGCAGACGGAAAGAAATGTAAAGGTGTGTAGTGGTGATTTGGCAAATKCACTGTAACTTAAACTAATTGTTTTGTCAGTCTTTCATCATGAAATATCTGCTAACTTTTGGGAGCTTATTTGGCTTGACAAAAAAAAGATAAATGTTTTATGGTTTGGTTTTAACACTTGCTTTATGATTGTTAGCATAGAAAATGTCTTTCATATAAAGAATTGTTGGTAAAGAGCAATGATAATATACTTCATTGCTTCCTTTTTTGTGATAATAACTGTTTGTGTTTATTTACTTGGTAGATTTTAATGAGTGCAGTGTGTATGGGACATGCAGCCAAACTTGCACAAACACAGATGGAAGCTACACTTGTAGCTGCGTGGAGGGCTACCTGCTGCAACCAGACAACCGCTCCTGCAAAGCCAAAAATGGTGAGTAGAAGTACACAAAAATGACAGCAAACACCATTGTTTGCAGTTCAACCTGGGGTAACAAGAGTTTGGAGCTAGATCATAGAGGCTGCTCTCATCTGCATGTTGTTTACCATGTTTGCTATAAATGTTTGATCTCTACATCTCCAACTCAATTGCTCTTTTCTTTGTTTTTGTTTCCTTTTCTACTCCTCTCTGATAAACCAACTCAGTACCAGTGGATCGTCTGCCTGTTCTGTTGATTGCCAACCTTCATGATATTCGGTGCACCTCTCTGAGTGGCTCCAGCACCCGGCTYCCGTCCATCCCCACTAAGCAGACCATGGCGATGGACTTCATTTACGCTGAGGAGACTGTCTGTTGGATAGATGTAGGTGACACTCCAGCTGCTACTCAGCTGAAGTGTGCCAACATCCAGGACCTGAAGACAGTCAGCAACATCCGAACCATTAACATCACTCTCAGCCTGCACCGTGAGTACTTATTTATTTTTTTTAACAAAGTATGAAATGTCTGCCTCACTGTTAAAAACTGTATCCTCCTGGAACATTTTATCTGAACACTATTTCAAAGGCTTGTTGTATCCAGTGCACGTTATTTCTATTATTGATTGTTACAAACACAAAAATGCCATAAACAACTACAGATTTGATTTCTGTAAAAATGCCAGAAAATATGCCAAGTGGAAACACAGATTTCAGTTTTATTTTTCTGTAGGCTTGTCTTTGAGAAACAGAGAAACTCTGACGCACCACTAAATCATTCAGTTAAGTCGGTATCTGCGTGCCTCATTCACAGTAATATGATGCTCACAAGACTGCCAGCATGCCTTCAGGCATTCATTTAGACATTTCATATCGGGCACAATAATCTACTTTGGAACTAGATTTATGTCTGAGTTTGTGTGGAAATCAAGGAGGCTGGAAGTTTTTTTTTTAACCTTGTTTTCTTTTTTCATGCATGAGGRTATCAAATATATCATTTGAAATCATTGTTTTGTCCTGAAGTTCTAAAAAAAGGAATAAACCGTTTTTAAATGGACTCATTTTGCCAGCTCAGTTCACATAAAATAATATAAAAAAATTACAACAGCTGCTAAGTTACACAACATCCAGTTCACAATACCTTTAAATCCAGTGCAAATCAACAGACAGAGGTGCAGATGAAATTTTTAAAAGATAAAATTACATTGCAAATGTTTTAATAAGAATTTATCTGGACAAATAATCAAATTGTGCATGGATTTATCAGCCTAATACATATATATATATATATTTGTCTTTTTTCATATTTTTATATCTTTTTCATAAAGTTAATTGCTTTAAACTCACTGGTTTAGCTCAGTTGTCATAACATAGACCCATCTTTTCATCCCTTAAGTCCTGATTTGCTGATATGATGGAATTTAATGTTGGCTTTCRTTTCCTGAAAAATCCTGTCTGTCGTCATACATCTAAGGGCAGCACAGTTTGTCCCAGAATGTTCAATGGGAAGATAACACATGTTTGTTTATTGAGTAATAATGACAAGTGAAACATCTGGCCTGTGGATGTAGTTTAACACACAAGCTGTCTAATGTGTAACAAAAACACACATGGCATGTGATGGCTCACATTTTGGAGACATGTAACGTTGACATGATTTATCTGATTGCAAACCAGACAAGTTTAATTTTTTTATCCTCTTCTCTCTGTTACTCTAAACGAATGAGGGCAAAAGTCTAGTCAAAACATTAGAAGCAATGGAGGTGTAAGTTTGTGTGTGTGTGTGCACATGTACGTGCATGAGTAAAGCTTTCCCGTGAGAATTAGCCCTGGGCTTGAAACAGCAGACGTACCAACAAACAGCAGTAGGGCTGATTATGTCGGGTAGGCTCTGTAACGTGATTAGGGGTGCCTCGGCTCATTTCTAAGTGTAATTTTGGTTGCGTAACTTCTGTCACTGCTGGCAGCCCAGCAACTTCAGAGACTCCCGTCATCCCAAAACTGAATTTGATTTCCTTACATCTCATCTCATTCGTATTGTGTTGACAAAATATGATCAGTCTATTTTTAACCTTAACCAAAGTGATTTTACTGCTCACCACAGATTGRAATTTTTTTATGTGAAGCTCAGCTTTTTGAGGGCCATCCACTCAACCACTTTAGCAAACTTGGATGATTTTCAACTAAATGCACCTAAACAAAATTGTAAAAGCATTTTATCTGCATTAAGTGCATAGTAAAGCGTCCTGGAGGCAAGTGGTCCGAGGAGCCGTCTGGGTGAAGGGTGGAGATGAGAGAAAAACTTTGGCGTAGTTAAAGACCATGATCAAATGATAGGGAGAAAGAGACGGTAGTGATTTGTTCTACCTTAGTGGGTGTGTGTTTATGTGTGTGAGTGCTCATTTAGATGACATTTACATACCTTGTCTAAGGTTTTGTCAGTCTGAACAGCCTTTTCGTTCCTCTGCTTGTCTCGGGTCCTGTCCAGTMGATTTCAGGGCCATCCACATGAGAGTGCTTTTTTTTTCTGAGTATGCAAAAGTTTTTTTTTATTGTTTCAACTTTGTATCTAAACTTAGACTGTGTTTTAGGAATCCTAAACCATTATTTCCCTATATTGAGCTGTTCCATATAACTTACAAGACAAACTTTTGAAAATAGTTTTCTTAGCCCCAGCCCCTAATCTGCATAGAGGTTTGTAAAARTTGTATAAAACACTCATCTCTTCCCAGTTACCTTTTAACTTGTGCATTCCAATCACTAAATAACACAGCCTTTTATAAATTAAGATTTTTGTCCCATGTCTGTTTAATTACCACTATGTTCAATCCTATTTGTAGGTGACACTTGTCACGGTTGACTATTTTATTATATTTACAACTTTACTCTATCATAATATTATTTGAAGTAGCATTTTGACTTGGTCTGCAGAATATAGTGATAAACAAATTATCATTGCAATGCAATCTTAATATTTCAAACAAAAATGTGCCTGTGCCTTATTAATTTTTTTTTATCAATTTGTTGGACTCGCATTGCCCACGCTCGATTTAGGTGATAGTAGTTGAGTTGCTAAAGCACCCAGGGTGTTGTGAGCATCGTGGTGATGCTGCTTTGTTCATTGTTTAAAGCAAACACGGCTCAGGTGTACTTGTAAAAGGAGTTGGGTGCATGGTTTTAAAGAGGATCCTCACAAATGCGGTGATTCATAGCTTCTGAAAGTTTGAGACTGCAGCACAGAGAAGCAGATGAGGGATCCAGATGTGGAGTGCTCTGTCGGGATGTGATTCTCTGTCTGGGAAGATAAAAGTGGAGCAGATCTTAATCGTGCACTCTCCACCCTGTGCAGGAAACGTCATAACAAGATTCACCAGATCTTCCCTTATCAGTGTGTTTGCTGTCAAGGTTCCATGATTTTCTTGTCTTATACAACTCTAGGATAAAGTAACACATAGGAGGATTACCAAATGTGCTTTTTTAAGCTCCAACTTAGATACTACAATAGCATCCTACTTTCAGGACAGTTTTGTGTATTTTTATTATTGTTATTATTATTATTTGGGCATGGTGCAATTATTTTGCCAACATTTTTTTTCCTGAGTAGCCAATACAGTTTTTTGCTTTTTGCAGTTGAATTATCATTCAACTTTAAAACTGTGCTGCTGAGAGGTCAGTAAGGTGTTTGCACAGATTATTTGGATCATCTTGGCCAAGAGAGAATTATGGAAGTTGAAAGATTTCTGTTCATTTCTACTCTGCACTAACATATAAATACTGGACTCACATAGACATAGTGGAAATGGTTTTAAAGTAAGCAAGCTGCAGTGCTGCTCCGGAGCCTCGGTGTCTCCGTTTGACTGGTTTAAGGAACTAAATAGGCTGTGGCCTGTGAGTAAATACCTGTACTACCTTGTATTAAAGGAATGTTTGTTGTTGGCGTGATACCCCCTCAGTTAGTGAAACGTTCGCTCAGAGTACTGCGAGCCGGTAGGTGTCATGGGAAGGATAAGTGTAGGGTGGAGAACAGGCGTGGGTTCATTCATTTTCCCAGCAAAGTTTCCACTTACCGGAAGCTGCTTGTGGGAAGACGTCAGTACACTTTCTGAATAAGGGGGTCTAAGAGATTGTTGCACAACACAGAAGCTGCTGGGCTGCACAAATTTATTCCTGTTTTAAATGTAGTACATTGCGCAGCCTTGCTTCCCACTGAACCTTTTTTAAAGCTGATAACAGCCTTTAGGAGGAGGTGGTTTTCCCATTTCCCACTTAACTCTGCTCATATTCCATCTTTTAAGGCCAACTTAGCACTTGTATTTGGAAGGTTTTGGTATGTTGGTAAGTGGTGYAGACAGTTTTTGAATCAGGCCCAGATGTGGCTGGGTTCTTTATTTTGTAACTGTAAGCTGAGGTTCTTGTGCAGTCATTTCTGGAAGGTTGTGGGACAGAGTTACAGTAAGTTTTCTGTTTGTGGTTAAATACCCCTCTCGTGTATCTCAACATCAAAGAGAAAGGAGTGTGCTCACTTTAATAGTAGATTTCTGAATTGTGTGTGTTTGCATCCTGTGTTGTCTTGATGGACAAGCAGTGGCAGCTGTTCAAACAACTCCCCTCCCCTCCTAATAAAGTCTCCGTCTGTGACTTCCTTTTCTAAGTACTCCAAGTTCTTTTGTAAGAAGTACTGCAACAGGGTTGGGGTCTTTATAAGAGTTTATTCCTAAAATTAACTATTATTAAATCACATCAAATTCTATTTTTATATTAAATATTTTTCCCATAGGATGTACAGATACGGTATGTGGGAGTTCAACATATTTTACAATGGGCTYGCCAAATTTAAAAACAAGTCACTGATATGGAAATTATACTGTTCTGTTCCATGCAAACAAATCTGAACCCAACTTTCTTGTTGAGTGCAAGTAGCCTAAAATACAAAGAAATGTTTTTTTTTTTTGCATTATATTTACACAAGAATCTATCAAGGCAGCTCCTGTATTTCTGGTAACCTTCCTGGAAGTTGCACTGCACTGTACATTTTCTATAGGTTGACACCTAAACAATCAATTTTTTAAACATGTGGCCTGATATTGCTTAGGTTCTCTTCCAGGAGTTTAGTTTACAAAGTACAGAGCTTCTCTTTGCTCTCTATCTATAAATTTTCTTTTTTACATTTGTTTGTTTATGCAATACATTTATCAAATCCAAGTACACTGCATTGCACAGAGAACTTGGAAAATCATAAAAGAACATTCATTTTGAGCAGCATTGAGGCATCATAAAAAATACTTTGGACATGATCCTGTTTTTGCCCAAGAGTTATGATTGTGCTCATATGACACATTTTTTTTTAAAATACTTCTGTTATGTGTGTTCCTTTTTTCCCCCCTCACCCTCTGCCTCCATCAGATGTGGAGCAGATGGCTATAGACTGGCTGAGTGGAAACTTTTACTTCGTGGATGACGTGGATGACCGGGTGTTTGTCTGCAACAAGAACGGCCAGACTTGTGTGACCCTGCTGGACCAGGAGCTGTACAACCCTAAGGGCATCGCCTTGGATCCGGCCATGGGGTTTGTATTTCACTTCGACCCTCTTGACATCTTGGTGATCTCTGTTGCTGTTTAAGCATTGTTGGAGAGGAAAATGCTGTCTTATGGTCAGACAAGATGCTGACCAAGCATGCTGGCAAAAACCAAAGCACTTCCTTCAGACAGAAACCTAGACTGATGTTGCATGCTGCACAAGCACGTGAATGTTGGCTGATTCAGGTTCCTCGTTTTGAGAAAGACCATTTCTAATGTTTTTCTAAGTATAAATTTAGCATTTTATTAACAATACCTTTTACCACGTATACAAAATATTTACATGTTTAATCAAGGTGGATTGATGCTTGAGGCTGACATTCACATCCCTAAATCACACAAATTTTGCTTCTCTAATTAAATTTCTTTTTCCGTTACCCCTTATCTCTCTCGCTCATCTTCTACAGCAAATTGTTCTTTACGGACTACGGGTCTACGCCAAGGGTGGAACGTTGTGATATGGATGGACAGAACCGCACGAAGCTGGTGGACAGCAAGATTGTCTTCCCTCATGGTATCACTCTGGATCTAGTGAACCGGCTTGTGTACTGGGCTGATGCCTACCTGGATTACATAGAAGTGGTCGACTATGAGGGCAAAAACCGACACACCATCATCCAGGGTCTGTTGGTGAGTCTTTAAGGATGGTACACACAAAATAWACCGAACCACGTACATGGCTATGCTCAGGGATATATTCATGAATATTAAACTAAACTAGTTCTGTTTTACTGGTATTCCCATCAGAACAAGAAAACATCTGTTTTCCAAATGTGCATCATGGCTGATTTAATGTCATGCTTGTCTCTTGTGTATCTAGCACAGGGAGTATTTATTTTCAAGGACTGGATCTTTTTATTACCTTGATTGATATTACTTAAAATGTGCGTAATTTCATGGCTGGTGYCTCTCTAAACTTATTACTCTGGCCCTGGTGACGCTTGGCTTCAGTTATACTGGAATAATGATCTTAATGAAATCAGGACTGTGGCGGGACGATGGTGGTGTTTGTGTGCAAGAGACAAGCATGTATCATTTAGACAGAAGTGGAGACCTGCTGCAAAAGTAAAATCTGAATTGTTGGGCAGCAGATGAGGAGTGCACCCATTATGCTACGTTATGCCAAGTCTGTGTGCATGCCCGTCTTTCATTATTTTTTCATGATTATTTCATTATTTTTTCATGATTATTGAACTACTGTGTATTTTTTTACTGATAAATTATTGCTTGGAAAGTTGAAAATTATGCAAATCAGCTTTGTAGTCTTCAATAAAAAATGAGTATGTAAATGTTTTTGCACAAGCCATAAGTCATGATGACATAGTTGATTTTGAGCTGTTTTTATTYAGTGTTTTCAGTGTCCTCAAATTTGTCCGCATTGCTGTCTTCTGTGATGTGTTCCAGATTGAGCATCTTTACGGACTGACTGTGTTTGAGAACTATCTCTATGCTACAAACTCGGATGAAGGCAACCTGAACCCAAAGACCAGTGTGATTCGAGTGAACCGCTTCAACAGTACTGACTTCCAGGTGGTCACTCGTTTAGATCGGGGAGCTGCGCTGCACGTTTACCACCAGAGATGCCAGCCTCAAGGTGGGTGGCGTGTCTGCACGTTATCAGATTCCTGACTGTTTTTAAAACTAACTATAAGTCATATTCATTTGATATGCGACTGTTTCAGTTCGCAGCCATGCATGCGCCCTGGATCAGTTTGGAAAGGCTGGGGGTTGCTCAGACATTTGTCTGCTCAGCAACAGCCACAAGACTCGTACCTGCCGTTGTCGCTCTGGATTCAGTCTTGGCAGTGACGGGAAGTCCTGCAAGAGTACGTTTTTGAGTTGTAAAGAAACTGAAAGTCAAAACTGACAGTGATAATTCAAAAGAGTAATGACATWCATTCATTTATTGTTGTATTTTATATGTTCCCTCTGCAGAGCCAGATCATGAGTTGTTCTTGGTGTACGGTAAGGGTCGTCCCGGGATCATCAGGGGCATGGATATGAACGCTAAGGTGCCTGATGAGTACATGATTCCCATCGAGAACCTGATGAACCCTCGAGCTCTGGATTACCACGCCGCCAATGAATTCATTTACTTTGCTGATGCCACCAGTAATATCATTGGTCGACAGAAGATAGACGGCACAGAGAGAGACACCATTCTAAAGGAAGGTAAGTAGCAAATTATAGCTTTTATTACAGCTTTTTCAGGGGATTCAGGAAACCATTTCCACTTTTTGACTTGATAAATTCAGGCTCCCACTGAGAATAAAAATTCCATATCAATATCCTTTTGATATTAATCCATCACTGACTCCCTAATTGTTTAATTTTCACTTTGGCTTCTTTTTTTATTATTTTATCTCAGGTATTCACACAGTAGAGGGGATTGCAGTCGACTGGATGGGAGGTAATCTCTACTGGACAGATGATGGACCAAAGAAGACTATCAGTGTCGCCAGGCTGGAGAAGGCTTCACAGAGTCGCAAGACTCTCATTGAGGGGAAGATGAGCCACCCTCGTGCCATTGTTGTGGACCCACAGCATGGGTAAAACGCTTCTCATAAATGTTTGAGGTTCACTGTTTTAGTGGTTGTAGAGGGTGTCCTGTAGCTKTGTGGGAGTCATACATTAAAGATTTTGGTTGAACTCAAATTTTCATTTTTATCAGTTTTTTTTATTTGTCAGATTTTGGACACTCTTTTAATTGTTTAGTTGTGGGATGTTCCATTAAAGATCACAGATTAAAACTGCTGCTCAGGAATGTTCTATCTCACATATTTATTCCCGTTTTTTTTAATCCCAGATGGATGTACTGGACTGACTGGGAGGAAGATCCCACAGAGAGCAGCAGAGGGAAGATCAAGATGGCTTGGATGGACGGTTCACATCATCAAGTCTTCCTGACCAGCAAAACAGTGCTGTGGCCCAATGGCTTGAGCCTGGACATTCCTCAGGGCATTCTGTACTGGGTGGATGCTTACTACGACCGCATTGAGTTGGTTTACCTTAACACCACAGAGAGAAAGGTTAAGGTTTTTCTGAGAATACTCTGTATACAGTGGGTTTATTGTTGGCTAAAAAAAACAAAATATAAAGAAAAAGAAAAACAATAGAAGAATTGGACAAAACCGTTTATAACACATTTCTAAAAACACATTTTACATAGCACAAGCAAAGTACAAATATACCATTTTTGAAAACAGGATATTCAAGAAAAGAAAGCAGCATTTGAGAAAAAAAAACATAAAATGCAGCAATAAAAACAAATGCATTTAATTTGGAGATGTGTGACATCTTCTCTGTTTCCTGATTTAACAGGTTGTTTATGAGGGCCAGGAGCTCAACCATGCATTCGGCCTGTGTCATTATAAACAATTTCTGTTTTGGAACGAGTACCGTGGCGGCAGCATTTACAAACTGGACCAGGTCACCAAGACCGTCACTTTACTCCGCAGCGAGAGGCCCCCAATATTTGAGATCAGAGTGTATGATGCACACCAACAGCAGGGTAAATACTTTTTCCTATGAGCTTTCAATTTTGATGCTATTTAAAGATAAAAGACAACACACACCTGTTTTTTTTCTACTTAGGCACCAATGTGTGTCGTGTAAACAACGGTGGCTGTAGCAGTTTGTGCCTCTCAATTCCTAACGGCAGGTCCTGTGGCTGTGCTGATGATCAGATCCTTGATGTTGATAACGTCACCTGCAAAGGTACTTGGCTGCTTTTACAGGAGTTATATTTCACTTGTGGTCATTGTAGACAGCGGTGGAAAAAGTCATTTTCTCAGCAGGAGTTGAGTTTTAAAATTCCGGGATTAGATTTGCTATTTGTACTGAATCATTTTTTCTCCTAAAATACTTTTTGAAATTAAAGCACAGTTCACAGGAAATGTCATTTCAGGGCAACAAAGAAACTAGAACACTTAAGTCTCTGGCAGTACAACTATAGATTTCTTCTACACAGGRGCATATAAACCTCAAATCAACATGTTAACATCAGCCTTTTAACTATTTCTGCTTGGTGAATTTCTTCAAATAATTTAGTTTACTTTATTGACCTTTTTACAACATAAGGAATGAATTTCCTCTAAAACAAGATGTCAAAACAAAACTGAAGAAATGGCACTTCTTTCTGAAATCTGCTGAAGAAATTGAAAAGGTTAATTGCTAAACTGTTAATGTGAGTTAAATTTGAACAGCTGCCTTTTGCTGAAAGTAGGACAACAAAAGTAAGAAATCAATAGAAAGATAGCAAAACGGTCAAAAAATCTGAAAGAAGCAAAAACGTAGCTAAACTTAGCAAAAACAAGGTTAAAGTAGCAGAAACAAAGTAACAGTTATCTATTAGCAAAATTAGCAAACAACAGGAAAATAAGTACAGAATTCTTTCAGTTTGTTTTGAATTGGCAAAAAATAAGCTGAAACTAGCTTAAAATTGTTTTAAAGTAGCTGAAACTAGCAAAACATGACAGCGCACATTTTGCTGAATTCAGTAGTAAGAAGCTGAAATTATGACAAAAATGTGAATTTAGCTGAAAAAAGCTGAAATTGGCTGAAACTAGCTAAAAGTAGCTAAAAACAGAAAACATCCAAAAGTAGCAAAAAGCAGCTGAAAGAAGCATAAAAAGCTTAAGTTAGCAGAAACAAAATGGAAGAAGCACAAAAAAGTTTAACTTAGCAGAAAAATRGCATAAAAGGTCAGAATGATAGCTAAAAAGGCAGAAAAAGGCTGAAATCAACAAAATGGGAGCCAATGGAATAAAAAAATTTGCACAAAGAAGTTGAAAAAAGCAGAACCGGAACAAAGGGTGGAAATACAGTCAAGATTTACACATTTTGAAGGGTTTTAAGGATGTTGAAAACACCACTGCTTGTTTTTAATGAGGAAAAAAAAGGCCAAAAAAGCTAAATATCTCAAAAAGCACGATTTCTGAAATACTAAAAGTCTTAGACATATTGGGCCTCATGCAAGAACCGTTCGTACGCACAGATTTGTTCTTAAATTGTGCGTATGAGTGATTTAGGAG